AATTCCCTCAATACCTTGAACTTTTGTTCTTCTGGATAAATTTTGCTCTCGTTTTTTCTAGCTCTACAAAATAATTTTTGATAGTTTGATTGCTATGGCACTGAATAGATCAGCTTAGATAGAATTGTCACTTTATTATATTGGCACAGCCTATCCACGAGAAATTGATATTTTCCCAGTTGTTTAGATATGACTTTATTTGTATGAATATTGTTTTGTAATTGTGTTCATGTAGTTCCTGGATTTGTCTTGGCAGGTACACTCCCAAGTATTTTATATTGCTTACAGTTATTTTCAATGGAATTTCTCTTTCTATCTCTTGCTGCTGGTCTTTGGTGGTAATATATAGAAATGTTGAAGATTTATTTATATGAGTTTATTTTATACACCGTAACTTTGCTAAAATTGTTAATTATTTCAACTAGTTTTTTTTATTTGATTCTCTAAGATTCTCTAAGTATGCCATCATATAATTGACAAAGAGTAATAGTTTTATTTCCTCATTACCTATTCTAACTTCTTTGATTTCTTTTTTATCCTCATTGCTGTAGCTAGCATTTCTAGTACAATGTTGAAAAATAGTGGTGATAATGGGAATCCTTCCTTCACCCCTGATTTCATTGAAAAGTTATCCCCATTACATATAATGCTTGCTGATGGTTTTAGATAGATATTACCATTTTAAGGAAAGCTCTATTTATTCCTTTGTTCTCTAGTGTTTATAATAGAAATGAGTGATGTATTTTGTCAAAAGTTTTTTTCTGTATCTCTTGAGATAATCATATTATTTATATTGGCTTTGTTATTGATATGGTCAATTATGCTGACAGTTTTCCTAATATTAAATCAGCCATGCATTCCTGGTGTAAATCCCACCTGGTCATAGTATATGATTCTTGTGATGCACTGCTGTAATTTCCTTGCTAAAATTTTATTTAATATTTTGCATCAATATTCATTGGAAAAATTGGTCTATAGTTTCCTTTTTCTTTTTTTGCTCTTCATGGCTTAGGTATCAGCACCATATTTGTATTCTGAAATGAATTTTATAGGATTCTTTTTTTGCCTATTTTCCAAAAGGTTTATGTAGTATTGGAATTAATTGTTCTTTAAATGTTTGATAGAATTCACTTGTGAATACATCTGGCCCTGGTTTTCTTAGGAAGTTCATTGATGGCTTGTTCAATGTCTTTTTCTAAGATGGGGTTATTTAAGTATTCTATTTCCTCTTCTGTTAATCTGGGCAATTTATGTGTTTATAAATATTCATCCATTTCACTTAGATTGTCAGATTTATTGGTATTTAATTGGGTGAAACAGTTCCTAAAAATTGCTTTAATTATCTTTTCATTATTGATACTGGTAATTTGGTTTTCTTATTTCTTTTTTGAATCAAATTAACCAATGTTTTGTTGTTTTTTTTTTTTTTCACAAAACCAGCTCCTAGTTTTATTTATTACTTCAAAGGTTTTCTTAGTTTCAATTTCATTAATTTCACCTTCGATTTTCAGAATTTCTAATTTGGCGCTCAATTAGAGATTTTTAATCTGTTCTTTTTCTATTCCTTTTTAATTGCATGCCCAATTCATTGATTTGCTCTTTTCCTATTTTATTGATGTAAACATTTAGAGATTTGAATTCTCCCCTGACTACTGCTTTGGCTGCATCTCCTACATTTTGGTGTGTTATCCCATTGCTGTCATTCTCTTTAATGCAATTATTGATTGCTTCTGTTATTTGTTCTTTGACCTGTTCATTCTTTAAGGTTCAGTTATTTATTTTCCAATTAATTTTAATCTATCTTTCCATGGCTATTTAGCTAATGTGATTTATATTGTATTGTGATCTGAAAAGGATGCATATAACATTTCTGCCTATCTGCATGTGATTATGAGGTTTTTATGCAGTAATGCATTGTTATTTTTGTGTAGGTGTCACGTACCACTTCTCCAGAGGTCTATCATATCTAACTTTTATAAAATTCCATTCATCTCCTTAATTTTTTTCTGGTTTATCTTTTGTTTAGGTTTACCTAGTTCAGAGAGGGGAAAGTTGAGATCCCCTACTATACAATGTTACTGTCTACTTCCTCCTATAATCCATTTAGCTTCTCCTTTAAAAATTTGGATGTTATATCATTTGGTGCATATATGTTTAATATTAACATTACTTTATTGTTTATGATACTTTTGGCAAGGTGTAATTTACTTCCTTATCCCTTTGCATTAGATATATTTTTTGCTTTTGTTTTAAGATCATGACTGTTACCCTTGCTTTTTTTTAATACTTCATCTGCAACAGAATAGATTTTTCTCCATCTCTTTATCTTTACCATGTGTGCATCTCTCTGCTTCAATGTGTTTCTTGTAATTGATATATTATAGGATTGTGGTTTTTAATCCACTCTGCTATCTGCTTTTCTTTTATGAGTGAGTTCATCTCATTTACAATTATGGTTATGGTTGCTAATTTGAATTTCTCTCCATCCTATTTTTCCCATTTATTCTTCTCTCTCTCACTCTCACTTTTGCTCTCACTCTCCTTTCACCCTGTCCCTTCTCAAAAGTGTTTTACTTTTGACCACTACCTCCCCCAATCTATCTTCCCTTCTATCACCATTTCCCTTTTCTTATCTTCCCCTTTCTTACTACATCCCTATAGGGTAAGATAAATTTCTATACCCAGCTTAATGTGTATGTTATTCCATCTTTGAGCCAATTCCAATGAAAGTGCATTATCCACTCCAGCCATCTTTCTATCCCCTGTAATAGCTCTTTTGCACCTGTTTATGTGAAATAATTTACCCCATTCTGCCTCTACTTTCCCTCTTCTCCAAGTACAATCCTCTTTCTCACACCTTAATTTTGTTTTGGTTTGTTATGGCTTGTGTTTTTTATATCATCCCATCAAAGTAAACTTATACTACAACTCTCTGTTTATGTGTATTTCTTCTAACAGCCCTAATAGTGATAAAGTTCTTAAGAATCACAAGTATCTTTTTCGTATGTAGGGATGTAAATAGTTTAATCTTATAGAATCCCTTATGTTTTCTCTGTCCTGTTTACTTTTTTATGTTTCTCTTAAGTCATGAATTTTAAAGTCAAATTTTCTTTTCAACTCTGGTCTTTTCAGAAGGAATGTTCGAAAGCCCTCTATTTCCTTCAATATCCATTTTCCCTCTGAAGGATTATATTCAGTTTCACTGAATAAGTGATTCTTAGTAGTAATCCTAGATCCTTTGCCTTCTGGAATATCATATTCCAACCCTCCACAAAACCAACAGAGGCATAAACAGCACTCACTGCCAGGGAGCAAGCATTAGAATTACTGTCAGTTTCCAGACTGGAAAATTCCTTAAGGAAATATATTGTTATGACTATAAAAATTAATCAGCAACCCTAACCTCACAAAATTGCTATGTATGCCTCCTCTCTTTATGTGCCTTAGTCATGGATGTTCCCTGGCCATTTGGTGTCCCTGAGTGGTTTTGTCCAGGAGAATGTGCTCGTGTGGGTATGAGACAATATGGTTTTGTTATATTTTGCCTACAATATTTAAGTGTCTTTGTTTTTTAATTAAAAGAGATTGTTGGCTTAAAGAAAGTAGCTTCCAGGTGGCTGACCCAGGAACTGCACCCATGTCTGTATAGGGTTGCTGAACTAAACAGATAATTTTTATCTTCTTAAGAATTTGATTTTCATAAAGGAATTATTATATATTTGCAAAAAGGTTTAAGAGAGAAGATGGACCTTTCATTTTCTCCTCATATCAGTCATGTTGGACCAAGCTTCAGATGCCTGCCAGTTATATTATCTTCAAATTATTATATGCACAAAATGCCACCAGCAACAAAGGGTGTTTGACTTTTGACAGAAACAAGAAAAAAAGTGTGGACCTTTGTATTTATTTATTTTTATTTTTAAATTACTATTATTATTACCCTACCAGAGATCAACAAACATGGGCACACACTTACAAAAAGAACATATACATACAACTTGTTCTTCATAAATACATATATATTAACTTTAAAATCATGGTTCCAACACTACCTTCTTGGCTCTTTCCATTTTGAACTATTTTTTGCTCTCTTCTTTCTATGTTTTTAAAGATTCATTTAGAATTTTTTTGAACATCACTTTCAATACTTATTTCATAACCTTCCCTTTCCCCCAACATAAATAATAACATTTTCCCTGAAACAAATATACAGAGATGTATATGTGTATATATACATACATAAAAACATGTACATATATACATATATGTATATATACATTCATATGTGTGTCAAAAAAATCACATCCACACCTTGTTTGTGCCTGAAAATGCAGGACTAATTCTATATCTTTAGAGTTCATCACTTCTCTAATGAAAGATGGTTAGCAAGCTTCATCATCAGTCATTTGGAGTCATGCTTACTCACTGCATAAGTCGTCTTTCATATTATTTTCCTTTGTAATGCTATAGTCTTTGCTAAATGTTTCTCTGAGTTCTGTTCATTTCACTGTGGACCAGCTCATACAAGCCATCCCAGGTGTCTGTTATTCTCTCTTTCAATTTTTAGAGTCCAATAACATTCCATTTTATAACATGCCAATTTATTCATTCATTCCCCATATGATGGGAAATTTCTAGGAAATTCCCCCCAGATCTCTGCTTATAACATTAAGGCAAAATGGGTTCATGGATGGATAGATTAGCCAATTTATAGGCCGCATCATCTACTATATATTAAGGATTTTTAAAACAGTTCAACCATTCATTTCCATGCAATAATTGTCCTAGCTTTGATTTTTTGGGATATTCTTTTAATCATTTGGTGGATCAAAATGGCAAAATGACTCTCAGATTCATTTTTTAATCTAGTTGTTTTGCCTTCTTGTATATTTAACACCCCAGCCACACATTCCTTGTCTTCCTGGGAAATAATGCCATTCTGATTATCCTAATCAGTGCAACTTTAATCTTCTGGTTTCCCAGGCTATAAATGACTGGGTTCATGAATTGGGGCAGTACTGTGTAGGCCATTGCAGTAAGAAAGCTCTGAACTGATGTCTTGTCTGATGTTGGCCCCAGGACTGCAATGATTCCAGAAAGGAGAAATAAGAGAAGGACAATCCAGTGAGGGGAACAGGTAGATAAGGCTTTGTAGCATCCTTCCACAGAGGGGATCTTCAGTACACTGGAGAAGATGCTATGATATTTAATATGATAATTAAAAAGGCAAAAAACAATAATAGAAAACATGAACTTATGGCAAGGAGTAGGTATTCAGCATTGTAAACCTCTGATGTTGCAACCTGCAATACCTGTGGTGTATCACAGAAAAACTGGTGGATCACATTGGATCCTGAGAAGGGAAAGCAGAACATGTTTCCTGTGTGCAGATTAGAGTAGATAACACCAGTAAGCCATGAGCCAAGGGCCCCCCAAACGCACCGGGATGGTTTCATGATGACCCCATAGTGCAGGGGGTGACAGATGGCCACAAAGCGGTCATAGGACGTGGTCATGAGGAAAGCAAATTCTGTTGATCCAAAAGACACAAAAAATAAGGTCTGAACAGTACATTCGAGGAGAGAAATGGTTTGAATGCCCATCAAGGTGTTAACAATGAATTTGGGAAGAGTTACTGAGATGTAACAGATATCCAACAAGGATAAGTTGCTTAGAAAAAAGTACATTGGAGCATGGAGGTGTTGGTTACTGACTACTGCAGTGATGGTGAGAAAATTCCCCACTAATGTTGCTAAATAAATTAGGATAAAAAATATTGCACGTAAGACCTGCAACTCTCGGATGTCAGCAAATTCCATTAGGAGAAATTCTGTGACAATGGTGAAGTTGGCCATATCTGCTGGTGCCCTGTAAATTATCAAAACTGAAAATGTAACATGAGTAGAAGAAACAGAGACAAAGAAGAAAACTAAAATGCCTAGGAGAGCCATTAAAATAAATCTGTTTTTCCATTAAAAAAATTCAAATACAAAAATAAGTCTCATTTGTGTTAGAGCTGAGGAAGGAGATGCTGGTTCTAGAGCTGAGCCATTATTCAGCTACCATCTGGAGATACTATAGAGTCTTTGTGGTGTAAAGGCAGTTGTTCTACTGCTAGATAGTGCAGTAGATAGATGACTGGGCCTAGAGTCAGAAAAACATATGTTCAAATCTAGCCTCAGCCAGTTTCTGACTGTATGACCGTGGGAAAGTCACAACCTCCATTTATATGTTTCCATATAGGCAAAAATGGGGTTAATAATAACACCTACTTCCTTGTAAGGATGAAATGAAATAATAACAATATATAAATTACTTAGCACAGTTTCTGACATGTAGTAAACACTATATAAGTGTTTGTTATTATGATTTTTATAAGATGTGGGGGGTGCAAATGACAGCAGGATAGTCCTAGCTGGCAAGTATGAGGAAAGACAAACTCAAAGAAGGAGAAGATGAATGGCCGGGCTGTGCAAGCAAGGGAAGGTGATGCATTTTTTGATTATCAATTAGTTTCCAAGTGATATGGGAAAAGTGATGATGATATGGTTGTAAAAAAAACAGTGGTGATATAACATTTGAATAATTTCATTATAAGTGTCTAATTCTGTAATTCTTGATAGTTTTTCCTAGATTTCAAGGTCTCTAATTTCTAAATGATACCAATTCCTTCCTTTTTTAAAAATATATTTATTTTTTATCAGCAAAAATATTGTTTCTCTCACTCACCTTCATCCTCCACCCAAATCAGAGCAAAAGAAAAAAATCAAACCACTATTATAAATATGTATAACCTGGGGGGAAAATTCCACATTTACCCATATCCAAAAAAATGTATCATTGTGCAATGATCCTTCACCTCTTTATCAGAAGGTTGGTAGCATTCTTCAGTACAAGTCTTCTGTCATTATAGCTCATCATTTTACTCAGAGTTCCTAACTCTTTCAAAGTTGTTTGTCTTTACCATATTTTTGTTATTGTATTATTTTTTTTGATTGTGCTTCAGTTCACACAAGTCTTCCTAGGTTTCTCTATAAATGTCCTTTTCATTGTTTCTTACAATATAATAGTTTTCCATAACTTTTGAATACCCTAACTTGCTCAACTATTTCCCAATGTATGAGCACCTCCTCAGATTGACGTTCTTTGTCACTTGAAAAAGAACTATATACATATATATGTATATACATATGTTTATATATATACATATATATATATACATATATTTACTTCCTTAGAGTTTGTTTTGCTTAGAGCTGATGCTTCCCTTAGGGCAGCTAAGTACAGTGGATAGAGCTTGGGGCCTGGAATCTTCCTAAATTCAAATCCAACTTCATACACTTACCAGTTGTGTGAACCCAGGCAAGTCATTTAACCATGTTTGCCTCAGTTTCATTATCAGTAAAATAAGCTAGAGAAAGACATGGCAAACCACTCCAGTATCTTTGCCAAAGAAAACCTCAAATGGGGTCATGAAGAGTCAGACATGATTGAAATGATACAACAAAAAATGCTTTCTTTAATCTAACCTCTCTCTTAATTCACCCTTCTTTCTCTCCTTTCCCTCTTCTTTCCCTGTTTAGTGAAATATATTTGTGTACATAATTCTATGTGTTTGTTCTCCCCTCATTGAGGAGTTAAGATGAGAATGATGTTCATAATCAGTCATTCCCCTCAGCTTCTCCCCTTTGTTTGTATAGATGCCTACTTGTACTCTTTGATTTTCTGAGATAATTTTCCCCAATCTTCTTTCCTCTCCTACCTAGTACATTCCTCTTTCTCTCTTTTTTTTTTCTATTCTTGTCTTAAGCTCATCAAGAGATAATAGAACTATTTCTAGACTTTGACTCCACCCATAACCTTTAATAATGATAGGGTTCAGAAGGGAAACATGCATCATGTCCCCAAATTAGAATGCAAGAAATTTATTTGTGTTTATTCCTTTATCATTGTTCATTCATGTTGACCTGTTTACATTTCTCTTAACTGAAATTTGAACTTTAGAGTTTCAATACATCTGTGTTCCCCTGCTCCAATCAGAAAAATTTGGAATCCCCCAATTTCACTAAATATCTATATTTCCCTTGAAGGGTTATACTCAGTTTTATGAGTAAGGTATTCCTGACTATTAGCATAGATCTCTTTGCCTCATAGAATGCCATTTTCCAAGCTTTATAGTGGTTCCATTCCTTTTTAGTGGTGGCTGCTAAATCATGTGTGATCCAGACTATGGTTCCTTGGTACTTCAAGTCTTTCTTTCTAACTACTTGTAGCATTTTTTCCATTGACCTGGAAGTTCTAGATTTTGTCTATAACATACCTGGGAGTTGTCATTTTGAGGTTTCTATCAGGAAGTGACTGGTAGATTCTATTTCCACTTTGTTCTCTGATTCTAAGAGATCTGGGCAGCTTTCTTTTAAGATTTCTTAAAATATGAAATCTGTGTTCTTTTTCTCTTGACATATGCAGACACATGCATACACACCCTGAGAGAGAAGAAAATGAATGTAGGTTGCCTCTCCTAAGTGACTCTTCTACCACACTTTTCAAATTGCTGCATTTTTGTGACACCTTCTTCCAACACAAATGCTCAACTCCTCACATGAAAACTCATCTCCAGATGTCAGAACTCTTGCTGAATTTTGCACACAAACTTAAATGCAACAAATATTGAAATAACTAATTTCCTGATCACCTCAGGCACCTACACTTAAGCTCATACAACAAACAAACTCAGTCTCACTCCAAAAACATAATTCCCATTACTAACTGCAACTTCACCATTGTCCAAAATAGTAGAATCATTCCATTAATTCTGATAAATATACTCTTCTCTGCTGCCCAGCTAATTTCTTTAATTCTCCCTCACCCCCCACACGCACACACATGTGCATGCATAGGAGCACACACACACACACACACACAGACAAACTAGCTGAACCAAGAACATAATTTAAAATTGAAAGAGAAAGCTGAAGGAGAAAGGAGCAGTCATCTAATCCATCCAGTATACACCTGACAAGTGGCCATCTGCTCTTTGCACAAAGACCTTTGCTGACAGTGTATCCTGTAGTCCTTTTTGCAGCTCATTCCATTTTTATGACAGATTGTTAGGAAGTTTTGCTGCTTCTGGTGCCGCTGCTCTTAGTGTTCTTGTTGTATTTGACAGTGAATCTAAATCATCCTCTTTGCAACTTTCACAACTTTTCTTTGGTTCTTCCTTCTGAAGCAAAACATTGCCAGACCAATCCTTCTTTCACTTGTCAAACCTTCAAATATTTGGACACCATTATCATTTTCCTTTGGTTTTCTTTTCTCTATAGTTATTCGTACCTCTATTTTTTTCATTTCATATGGAATAAGCTTGAAGCCCTTCACCGTCTTGATTACCCTTTTTTTGACCCTTTCCAGTTCATCCAGTGCATCATCTTCATATACTATAGCACCCAAAACTAAAATCAACATCTCAGTTTTGATATGAACAGAGCAGAGGACAGAGAGCTAGCCTGTCTCTTCCTTATTCCTGGAAGCTTTGCCTCTTAATATAGCCCAAGGTCTCATTACCTTATGTGGTATTGACATCATTCTCCTGACTCACATTGAGCTATTGGGTTTGCAGGATATAATTTCTTATGTTTGAAATCTCCATTCTTCTTGGTTTCAGAATATAAATGTTGTGATCCATGGAGATAAATATATAAAAGCATAAGGCTTGCATGTTCAGAAAACACTCAGTCTTTCAAAGAGACTCCCCCTGGGAAATTCACATCACTAGACCATTACCAAAGGCCTCTGACATAGAGAGGACAGTTCTGATTATTCCCCTTTGACAGATGGGGACATAGAAATACAGAAAAATGAAAGGTTTCAAACTAAAACCCAAGCTTCTTTAATCCTCCCCCAGTTCTCTTTCAGCATAGAATCCTGGTACTTAGGCAACTGAACCACATTCTAATTTCTTTGCAACATTTAGCTTTTTTACCAAATTCTCCCTGTAACTTCCAGCACACATCCCACACTTGCAATTAATTAGAATTAAAAGGTAGATGTGTATTTCTAGAACAAAATGATAGTACTACTACTGCTGTTACTACTATTACTCTTATACTACTACTACTACTACTACTACTACTACTACTACTACTACTACTACACTACTACAATAGCAGGCATTTATTTTGATCTTGAGATTCATATACCATCTCTTTAAAGCTTCACATTAACACCTCAAGTTACATTCCACAGGTATTTTCCTTATTTTTGAAAGGATAATTTGGACTCACCTAAGTTCACATAGGGAATCACTACTGGAGACAGATTTTTTTTTGTTTTCATCATTTTAAATGATATCCAGCACATGATCCATTATCCAAATGATAGCCAGCATATATCCATACGTGCTGTCTCTTAAGAACCTATTGACTTGTAAGTTATCAAACCATGATCTTGGTTTCACACTTATAACAAGTGAGCAACCTAGCCTATCTAGTAGTGGTGCAGAGGGAAAATAAAAGATGACAAAATGTGAATTGGGAGGTGTGGAATTTTTCCTTTCTACCCAGGGTGTTATTTTTGCCCTGACTATGGCAGAAGTGCTAATGACTATCAAAAGACTGTATCCTCTCTAAGTTAACCAATTCCTCCCTTTGAAACTAAGTGCAGAGAAGTAATGAAGATTATTACATATTTCCCTGCTAGCTTCTGCAATATAGCTAGTGTTTCTTATGTGACAGTCTGAAGAAATACACTTATTAAAAGATCTTTGAACAACTAGTCCCTTCAGCACCCAAAATAGCCAAGGAGGACATCACCTCCACAGCTATTATGAGTTCTATGGTCCTTCTCTTGAGAATAATTAGATGGGGAGTGGTGCCTTTCACTTGCAACAAGGAAATTGAGTTTTCCCTTTAGTCTTGTTAAAAGAGTGTCCATCAGTTCCTAGTCATTCTCTGAGAGCTCATGAGGGACCTCCAGGCAATCTTCATTTTTATCCAAAATGAAGATCAACTAAATTTAGTTTTGTTAACTGTGCTTTTTGCAACAAAATGCTTGATCTACTTGAAAAATCACAAAGTAATATTTTATAAATAAGATGAGATGAGATAGTGGCACACTGGGTATTTCTCACATAGAAAGGATGGTTTTAAAAAAAACACAGCCTTCCTATACACATAAAAATATTTTTAGTAATTATCAGGAAATAAATATTAATGTCTAGAAAAGAAAACTATTTTGATCACATTGACATAACTCTCTAACAATGAAGTTCCTTTTCTGCTGCAGGGGGTTGCCCATTACCAAATCTCAGATATTCTTGAGGCTCGACGTATGAAAAGTGACCTTTCCTGAGGAGATGTTACCATTATCTTCTTCCCAGTTTGAGAAAGTTGGAGTTAGTACCAACTTGATGCTGAGTTCATAAAGTACAAGTCTAAGCTGAACAGATGACTACCTGAGCCATGTGCAAAGTTGCATATGACAAATGTGTTAGTATAGGGCTTGGCACTTGCCAAGTAGTTAATAAATATATACTAATTGGTAGATTGATTAAGGGATGGGAAAGAGTTAGTCAAAGTGAAACCCCTTAAGGGCAGCTAGGTTACACAGTGGATAGAGCACCAGTCCTGGAGTCAGGAAGATCTAAGTTCAAATCTGGCCTCAGACACATAATACTCATTAACTGTGTAACCCTGGGTAAGTCACTTAACCCCATTGCCTAGCCAAAAAAAGAAAAAAAGTGAAACCTCTCAAAAATGAAAAAAACAAATTCCAAAACCTATTCACACAACATCAAAATATCTATAAAATCTATTCAGTACCATATCTTTGGTCCTTGTTGTGCTGGGTGAAAGATGAAATGACTAAGAAAACAAAGGTTTGAGTATATCGATTTATTAAGCAATGCATGACAATTACCTACCTAATTGGGACCAGACATTATTAGCTTAGGGCTGGACCCAAAATACAGGAGGAGACAGACTTTTATACGTTAAAAACAATCAAATATGACAAATTAATTAAAAGAAAGCAATAAACCTGGATACAACATTAAGTGATCTGATTTCCAATTGTAAGAAATATTAGAGACTTTTCCAAGTTGGGAAGGGGAGAGTGAAGAAGTATAATTCTCTGAAATCAGAAAAAGAGATGTTCCACTCCCCACAGATGATTATATTCTATCAAAGGAACATGAAAACAACTGGTTAGCTAGTATGGGGCAAGTTTTCGGGTAAAACATATGAGTTGCTTAAGATGCATAATTGTGAGAAAACTCCTTCAGTCTTTGGATCTGGAAGGTTTTCTCTTCAGCCTAAAAGTTCCTTAGTTAAAGGCCTCTAAGCAACAGGGAGAGGTGGTTCAGTTTCCCAGATAATCAGGGCAAGGTTCAAATAAGGCTATGTAGTTTTCTCACAGTTCTCACAATTAAATAAAGTTTTCTCACAAGACAGAAAATTGAATAGAAAGGGAACTGAGCTAGCTCCAGAATTGAGTCACAAACTGGAGTCAGTGTGTTTATAGTTCTTAGAGAAAATAATCTAATCCTGATGCTTTCTCAAAATTTACTACTCCATTTCATTAGAAAACTTTTACATTACATCTTTTTCTCTTTACTTTGTCTAGTTCTACGTTTAGGAGGAGAGCATCCCTATATTATAGTTGGACAACAATGTAGACTAAAATTGTAAGATTTATCATACTTGCATCCTATTACAGTAACTCAGAGATGTTCCAGCATCAATCCATTAATTAATAGATGGAGTATTATATTTACACAACCCCTACTGCTCACCTGCCCTGATTATAGAAATTTGCTATGAAAGGAAAAGGAGGGAAATAGTTATAACAATGTGAAGGCTGATCCCTCAAGGGCACAGACTGACCTGATAAATATTATAGGAGGGGAAAAACTCTCTTACCTGTTTGATTCCAGGTACAAGTCATATCTAACAGCCAATCATGGAGTAACTGGGTATCAAAAGCCAGGCTCAGGATTAGCCTGGTAGGGAAATTTCCTTTAGAAAGGAAAAAGCACAATAAGGAAATTGAGTCGATTCTCTCATAGGTGAAATATCATATTTGTATTAAATTAAATTGTTCTCACTCATCAAGCTCACATTCTAATCCTAGTATTAGACACATTTAGAGAACTTTTATGTACAATGTACAGAATAATTACATTGGAGAAATGAAAGCAAAGAGCTTTATGAAGTCAGATGCAAATGGTCACAGGAAGTGAAGATAATTTTCTTCAATCCAACAAACATTCTTTAAATGCCTACTGAAGGACTTCCAGATCATATGAGTAACAGGATGGTGGAATGGATATTTTCTCCCATCTTAAAGACCTCTCAAACATCTTCAAAACAGAAATCTTGTGATAAAGAGAGTCTTTACCATAGTCTTACTTTTCCATTGTCTAGGACACCCAGAATCCAAAAGAAGCTTAAAAAATAACAGCAACTCCAAACCCAGGAACTGACCCTCGCTGACCCTGAGCTCTCTCAGCACCTTTCCCCACCTCCCACACTACTGGCAGTGAGGCTACACTGGCAGACACCAAGACACAACACAGGCTTAGACTAAAACTCATTCCTATGCTCCAGTGCCCCCTCCCTCTTTCCAGTGTCATAAAGATCCAGCTCCAAATTGTAGAAGGGCAAAAGATGGAAATTCAATAATAAAGAAGTATGAAATGATTTGCATTTCTCTAAACAACAGTGATTTAGGGCATTTTTATATGACTATACATAGCTTTAATTTTTTCATCTGAAAACTGTCTATTCATACCCTTTAACCACTTATCAAATGGGAAAAGACATGTATTCTTATGAATTTGACTCACTTCTCTACGTGTTTTAGAAATGAGGCCTTTATCAGAGACACTGATTGTAAAAAAAAAAAAATTCACATCTTTCTGCTTCCTTTCTGTTTTTTCTTTTTTAGTGAAGCAATTGGGGTTAAGTGACTTGCCCAGGTTCACACAGCTAGTAAGTGTCAAGTGTTTGGTCTGAGGCTAGATTTGAACTCAGGTCCTCCTGACTTCAGGGCCAGTGCTCTATCCCCTGCACCACCTACCTGCCCCTCTGCTTCCTTTCTGATCTTGATTCCATTGACTGTATTTGTGCAAAAACTTTTCAATTTAATGCAATCAAAATCATCGATTTTCTATTTCACAATATCCTCTATCTCTTATTCAGTCATAAATTCTTCCCTTCTCCTTATAACTGACAGGTAAATGGTTCCTTGCCCTTCTAGTTTGTTTATAGGATCAGCCTAATAAAGGTTATTTTCAATAGGGAATCATGGAAGGCTCCATGAATATGGTGAAAAGTGAACTGAATTTTCAAAGAGAAGTACATTTTAAACAGGTGAGCGTGATAACAGTCAATTCTGGCATGTGAAAGAGTGGCTATGAGGACATCTAGGTGAGAAGTCAAAGTGTGTTCTTGGAATAGAATCAGGATTATGGAATTGAATTTTGTTGCCCATGGTAAGAATCCATCTTCCTTCCACTTGGGTAGTAATTTCAATTCTTTGTGTCAGGTCCATGACCAAATAAATTACTCAATCAAGGGAAAGATTTATATGGTCCCCTTGTATGTATCTAAATAATAAAAAAAATTGATGAAAGATTGCCTTGCCAAAATGAACCAATTGTCCAAACTGAATATATGGGGACTTAATTTTTTTATTTGTAAACAAAATGTTAACTCTTAATTTCACTTTTAGGCTAGTGGTCTTGTTACCTTATGCTTATAACAACTTATTCTTACATTCTCTTACTTTTTCATTTTTTCAAAGATGGACATTTGCTTCCTGGGAATAAAAGTCATTTTCATTATCCTACCCAGTGCAACCATTATTTTCATGTTCCTCAGACTATAAATAATAGGATTCATAAATGGAGGCAATATTGTGTAGGTCATGGAAATCAGAAGATTCTGGACTGGCGAAGTGTCTGAAATAGGACCCAAGACTGTGACCATGCCAGCAAGAAGGAATAAGAAGAGAATGATCAATTGTGGTAAACAAGTAGACAAGGCTTTGTAGCGCCCTTCCACAGAGGGCATTCTAAATACAGTGGAGAAGATATAAGTATAGGATATAATTAAAAAACCAAAGCAGAATAACACTAAAGTTGAACTCATGGCAAGGAGAATATACTCAGTATCAGAAGATGAGACCTTCAAGACATGAGGGATATCACAAAAAAACTGATGGATCAAATTGGATCCTGAGAAAGGCAAACGGAACATATTCCCAGTATGGACAGCTGAGTACAGGAGCCCACTGACCCATGAACCACTCGCCACCCAAAGAGAACGGAGCAGTGTCATGGTGACCCCATAGTGCAAGGGGTGGCAGATGGCCACAAAGCGGTCATAGGACATAGCCACAAGCAAAGCAAATTCGGTTGCAGCAAAGAAGATGAAGAAGAAAATCTGAGCTGCACAGCCATGTAAAGAAATGGATTGATGGCCTGTCAAGGAATTCACAATGAATTTGGGAAGAGTGACTGAGATGCAGCCAAGATCTATCAGAGATAAGTTGCTCAGAAAAAAATACATTGGAGAATGAAGATGTGGGTCAGTGACAATGGCAGCAATAGTGAGGAGATTCCCCATCAGGGCTGCAATATATATCAACAAGAAAAGAAGAGCATGTAAGACCTGCAGCTCTCGGGTGCTGGAAAACCCCATAAGGAAGAATTCCATGATGATCGTACAATTGCTCATGTCTTCTAGGGTCTTGTAATTCATCTTGAAACAATGTGAGTAGAAGATACCAAATTCTAAAAGCAGAGCACAGAAGTACTTTATTACACCAAACTTCAATCTATTCTTACTCATAAAGTTAGAGTGGCAATGAGACCATTTTAACAGTAAAGGTATGACTTACCATTCTACTGCAACCACATTCAGGCCTTAAATTGAAAACATCTACCCAACTGTACTAACTTAGCCACCTTGGATTCACTTACTCAACAGCACCTCTGCTCTTGACTTGTCCTACACAAAGACACACACATACACACACACACACACACACACACACCACTGCAATCCCTAGATTGATTCTCTTTTGCAAGATAACAGCATATCCCAATGCAAAACATATCTGTTTACATATATACAGAGAGATCGGAGATGATAGATAAATACATAGACCATTTATTTTATACTTTGTATTGTCAGACACCTGTGCTGACTGAAATTTTAGTTTTCAGCGAGACTTTAGACACCTTGACATGGTCTCTTCTGGGGGTGGGGGGGATTTGCCTCTTCGAGTCCATATGTGGGTCCTTAGATTTGGCTTTTTGACTGAGTCCAAGTTTCACAGAAGAAGTCCTATTATTAAGAGGATTTGTTTGGATTCAGTCAAAGGGCTGTACTTGAGCACCTAGAGGGCCACATGTAGCCTTCAGGCCACAGGTTCCCCACCCCTGGTCTATTCCATATATATGTGCATTTCTATTTTAAAGTATATCAAAGTTCTGATGTCTATTTCAGACTCTTGAAAGGTGGGACCTACATAAAACGTCTACCTAAAACTTCATGATATGTTAATGCGCTTCTGTCCATTCAGTAGCAGGGGTGGGGAGACTGGGGCCTTGAGGACACATGTGGCTTTCTAGGTCCTTAGGTACAACCTTTTGACACTGTCCACGTTTTAGAGAATAAATCCTTTTATTGAGGGGATTTGTTCTGTGAAGTTTGGATTCAGGCAAATGGCTGCACTTGAGGACATAGAGGGCCACATGTGGCCTTCAGTTCACAGGTTCCCTACCTTTGCTACTGAATGGTCAGAAACTCATTAACATGTAATTGAAGAATTGCTGAGACCCTGGAAGAAGTGAATTCCTAACTATCTGGAGAAGTCTTTTAAATTGAATCACAGGATAATAGACTCAGAGCTGCATGGGATTTTGGAGGTCATGTACCCAGCTCCCTTAACTACAGAGGAAGCCTAGAGAGGTACAGGACTTTCTTGGGCTGGCACAGGCAGTGTATGGCAATGCTAGTTAGTAATCTCAGCACTCTTTTCTTTGGATCTACTCAAAAGAATAACCATAATTACTTGCTTTAAATACTTTAAGTTTTTCTACGTGAATACTTAGAATAGGGGATACCATCCTCAAGAAAAATGAACAAATTTTTGCAAATTTTAAAGAGCTGTATTTTTATGAATTATTGTCTTTATTATTTGTTTTAACAACAAAAAATTCATCACTAATTAGAAATGGTTTTGATAGTATATCTCATTGTCCTCGGCTGTCCATTGATAATCTCTAAGGATTTGCTGTAAAGACTTCTGTTTCCAGTAGATTTCCAGTCTTGCTACCTCAAATCTATGTTCATCACCCTGGATTTATTAATTTAATTAATCAATATGGATACATTAATTCCTCTAAGTAACACTAATCACCACATGTATATTCAGATATACTGCTAGGATAGTCTTTTTGCTGTCTTACCTTACTAACTTGGTTTATTTAGTTTATATTTTCCCTATTTTGTGACTATATAATTCTTAGTGACATGAGATATGTGTGTTCAAGCCAAAGAGCCAAAAGCCCAAGCTATTAAAAACAATAAGGATATGAGAATATCTGATTGTCCTTTGTCATTTACATTGGAAATCATTATCTTGCTCTTAAAATATATATACATATATGTGTGTGTTGCATGCATGTATATGTGTATGTGTGTATGTAATTGATATAGTATATATATTCTCTAACGTTAATATTTAATGAGATCTTTGATTTTATCAAAGTAGAAATACAGCAGGAGAGAAAATCTCTTTCAACTTCAATATCAACTAATAATAGTCTTAGTGGCCTCTAATACTGGGAAGTTAAGTGATTTGGCTAGAGCTATAAACAACAGTTTCTGTCAACATCTGGATTTGAATCCAGGTCTTCCTTCCTACCAGGTCATTTCTGTAGTACAGTCATGCTACCTGTTAAATAATAATGACAATGGTCATGTTAACCATAATGATAATATTTACAACAGCAATTATTTTATTGGCACAAAACATGTTTATAATAAGTTAGACTTTCTCCAAAGGAATTCATTTCACTGAGTACATACCCATAACCCTGAGAAACTGGGAGAGAAGACGTTATCCAGCTTTGATAGAAATTCATTCATTTTATCACAATCTGCACATCTGAAGTTGCTGGAGCTAGGGGTGATATCTGTTTGTGTAGGATAGAAAAATAGTAATAACTAATATTTACCTGGCACTATTTTACAAAATATTTTACAAATAATATGTTCATAACTCAAACTCTGCGAGACGCTGTAGGTGTTATGCCCATATTATGGATGAGAAATTGAAGCTAAGAGAAGTTAAATGACTAGCTGTCAGTTAAATGGCTAGTATATCCTAGAGGAAGAATTTAAGCTTCAGTTTTACTTAATTCATCTGTCATGCCATAATGACTCTGTAAAGGCAATGTCACATGCAGAGATCAAACCTAAGACTTCTGACGCCCACTTTATTAACTAAGCAAATTGGTCATTCAGAAATGGAATATCAAACAAAACAATACCTGAGGGAAGACTTATGGCGTTTCTCATTTCCGTAGTATGTATTGTTTTTTTTTTCCTTACCAAATCACAGCATCTCAACAGCATCTAGAGATTATCTCTATCCTCACTAAAATGGCTCTCTTCTCATTTGGAGCTTTAGAGGGCAAAGAGAGCTGGAACTGTACCATGTGAAGCTACTAGATTGCTGAAATATTTGATGAATATTAGCCAAGTGGAAATATACTGCCCAATGTCATTTGGAGAAGTGTTTCCTGATGTTCCCAGAGGAGCTGAAGTTATAATCTCATCCTTATTAGCCACATATTATCTGACTTTTCCCTCGAGCATACTTAGTTAACATAGAGGTCCTTTTATTAATAACATAGAAAAACAAGTTTGCCCTTAGAACTTATAAAGTGCATTAGGACTTCTGCAATCCATGAGGATGTTCCATGTAGCATTCAATCTTGTTCAAAATACAAGTACATTTTACTTGGTTTAAGTGTGCTTTAGAGGAGAGACTTTGATCTTCATAGGAAAAAATATCAAGTACACAGAAATATGTATGTCTGTCTATCACTTATCTATGCATATATATATGGATATATACCACATAATTTATTTATTTCATACACATAAAAACATATGCACTCGGGAGGTTAAATACCTATCATCATTTCATTAATATCTGTATGTGTACATGTATGTGTATATTTCTACATATATACATATACACATAAAGATACTAATGAAATTATAATAGGTTGCTTTTTGGTCAAAACACATGTATGTAAGTAAGTACACACACACTATATATGTATATACTATTGGAATGAAAGTAGCTATTTTTGGGGCGCAGTGAGAGAACTGCCATACTTTTGGCCATTTAAAAGTGGTGTGTATGAGGGATCCTTTTGTCAAGTTTATTACATAGGGGAAAAACATGGTCAGATCTGTGGTTTGACTTGAAGATCAGTATGATATCTGACTGCAGGACAAACTGGAATGGAGAGAAACAATGCAGGGATAAAAACTAGAAGGATATATCAAGAAGATTTTTTTTAATTTTTTCTTCATTTATTTCGATTTATCAACAATCACTTCGATAAGCTTTTGAATTTTAAATTTTTCTCCTCCTCTTTCCCAGCCTCCCTTTTCCTGTTTTCCCAGCAGTTTTTGTCAAATAATGAGTTCATATCCCACAAGCTGGGGATCTTTGGGTTTATCAAAAGGTAGTTTACCATAGTCATTGGCTACTATGTCTTGCATTTCTAACCTATTCCACTGATCCACCACTCTATTTCTTAGCCAGTACCAAGTAGTTTGGATCATTGCTGCTTTATAATACAATTTAAGATCTGGAATGGTTAGGTCACATTCCCCTGAATTTCTTTTCATTAGTTCCCTGGATATTCTGGACCTTTTCTTATTCCAAATGAATCTTGTTATTATTTTTTCTAGCTCTATAAAATAATTTTGCAGTTTGTTTGGTATGGTACTGAATAAGTAAACTAGCTTGGATAGAATTGTCATTTTCACTCTATTAGCTTGGCCTACCCATGAGCAACTGATGTTTTTCCAATTATTTAGATCTGACTTTATTGGTGTGAAAAGTGTTTTGTAATTGTGGTCATATAGTGCCTGGGTTTGTTTCATTCGGTGAACTCCTAAATATTTCATAATGTCTACAGTAACTTTAAATGTAATTTCTCTTTCTACCTCTTGCTGTTGGGCTTTGTTGGTAATATATAGAAATGCGTATGATTTATGTGGGTTTATTTTATATCCTGCAACTTTGCTAAAGTTGTTTACTATTTGAAGCATTTTTCAACATTTACTTTCACAAGATTTTGAGTTACAAATTTTCTCCCCATCTCATCCCTCTGACCACCCCAAGATGGCATGCATTCTGAATACTCCTAATCTGCCCTCCCTTCTATCTCTCCCCACCTTCTCTTATTCCCTTCCCCTTCAATTTTCTTGTAGGCCCGGATAGATTTCTATACCCCATTTACTGTATATCTTATTTCCCAGTTGCATATGAAAACATTTTTTTAACTTTTATTTTTTAAATTTTGGGTTCCATATTTTCTCCCTTTCTCCCTCCCCAGCCACTCTCATTGAGAATGCAAGCAACTTGATACAAGTTATACATGTGTAGTCATGCAAAACACTGCCATAGCAGTCATGTTGTG